TGGACGAAAGCAGCGCGTGGGACAGTACCCCAGCATGGGGATCCATATACCTGGACATCAAAATTCAACGACTCGATCAGCATCCCGCTCTTGATAGATCGAGCCATGCAGTTCGACTTCCCACGGGTGGAACTTTATTTTAATTGCCTGATATACCTCGCCCCGCGTGCAGCGCGCGCGGCAGGTGCTTTTGCGACGCCGATCATACCTGGGAACAGTCTAGTTCCAGGCTGTAATAACGCGAACAATGGAGCGAGGGCTTTCTTGCATGAGGTTTTGGACCGCGCCCACAGTCGAGTTCCGCGCGCTCGCCCACGACAGTATGTGGACGACGCCACTGCGCGGTCAGACGGCTCTTACAAGCATGCGAAGCATGAGCTCACCACGGTCGCCGTCGAGCTCATCAAGGGATGCACCGAAAGCAAGCAGGAGCTGTCAGATAAGTCGTCAGTCATGGCCTCGCATCCTAGCATATCGAACGCAGTATCACGGGCAGCTCTTCAGCTACGTCCCACAGCACGGAGTGCAGACTGCGCGCGCGACCTTGTCATCGACATGGCCCGAGGACGGCGAAGGAAACAGCCGCTGCGCAGGCAAGACGCAACGTAGCGAACGTGCGAGTACGACGAGCCCGTGTTCTCAAAGGTGTTGGCAAGCGTCGGCGGAAGTTGTCTACTCTGAACATGGCCGGCGTCAGGGCGAAGTCATCTTATGCTGTGCCAGCCCTCGGCCAGTCGCCGAGCGCAGCACGACGCGCGCACGCTGAAGCAGCCGACATGCTGGGCGACACAACAGGAGGCCGAAGTACCTCCATGGTCATGCTGCTCCACTACTTTGACAAGGACCCCAAAGCAGTGGGACTTAGGCGCCAAGTGGCAGAGTGGATCAAGTTTCGGAAAAGAGTCCCAGAGTACCATGACAAGCTCCAAGCTGGATGGCATGCGGCCGTTCGACGCCTACAGAAAGCACGACCCCGTGGACGGTGGAATGTGGTAACTGGACCAGTGGCAGCACTCATCCAAGCCTTGCCAGAGCTGGGGTGGCAGCTCAGCGAACCAGACACCTGGACTGACTCAAAACAGAACGTTTGGCGACTGACGGATGCGCACAGCGAGCCCCTTGCGTCCGCCACATCCAGCGACCAGAAGGCCAACGAGACGGAGTTGAGGACTGTACTAGACGGGTGTCCTGTTCAAGCTGGGTGTCCTGTACCAGCTTGGCGTCCTGTACCAGCTGGGTGTCCTGTACCAGCTGGGGGTCCTGCACCAGCTGTGTTCTGTGCCAGCTGGATGTCCTGTGCCAGATAGGTGTCCTGCACCAGCGTCGATCATCCACTCCAGCGAGCAGGAGGGAGAGATGTCAGAGCAGGCCGAACCCATTGGTATCCGAAAAAGGTCTGGAAGTCCTGGGGCTGCTCTGGACAGCACCCCAGGCTCATGCGTCGCCACCTGCTAGACGCGGCCAGGAAAAACCTCAGCCATGGGACTTTCACCATCGCCTCCAGACGAACAGAGAGCGCAGGCGGCCCAGGACTACGTGGACATGACAGCAGACCTACGAGAATGGGCAGCGGCATGGTTCGACGACCACCTCAGCGATGCCAGAGATGATAGCAACTGGAAGGAGTCGTGCGAGGCTTTTCTCTCAACAGTGCCGAATGGAGGCAACAATGAACCACTGCGCAGATTACTGCGCGCTTGGTTGCCGAACAGATCCCCCGCCTCCATCATCCAGGAGCGTTGTGGCAGCGCTTGGGGACAGACAGGAAGGCGCCGCGATGCTTTCATCGACAGGTTGGCAGCATCTGAAGCCCCACAACGACAGCGTCTTGAACGCAGGCACTGGGAAATGTTGACAGCAATCAGGGCTATGTTCAGGAGGCCCTTGGGCGCGAATGCGCCCGACGTACGACGGCCCCCAGCTCAGCGTCAACCAGACAGCGACAATGACCAGACCGCGGACGTGCACGACCACCTCATTGCCCTGCTTGTAACGATGGCCCGACCTGAAGCGGCCTCACTTCAACAAGTGCCAGATCGCCAGGCTGCAGATCGCCAACTACAGCCGATTGCGACCAACATGGGCGGCGACCACGACCCTTTCGAGGACATGGAGGAGGGCACCGAGGTCATGCAGTTATCGAATGGTGGTGTCTCTTCAATAGATACTCGTGGACACGATGCCGTCGCTGGAGCTGGACACTCCGTCAAGTCTCTGGATGCTGCCAGCGGGACTGCTACTCAACAGCTACCAGTTCGACAAGAACAGCTACCTGCAGCAGGCGACGCCTACCAGCAGCCAGACGACACCACCCAGCTCATGGCCCTCATCACTGCTGACGTCACCCAGGAGATGTGGCAACAAGCAGCGCTTAGATCGACATAGAGGCCAGTGGGGGCCCACACCAGATCTCACGTCGGCTCTGCGAACGCTCCAGAGGATGCGACGAACGGGTTCCCATCGGGAAGCTGGAGCGCTTGAAGCAGCGTTACTTTGGACTGAAGAACGTCGCCGCGCTGAGGGCAACGACTGCAATGGCGCATGTACTCGATGCGCGACGGGCCACAAAGAGACGATGGCCCACAGGGTCTGGAGTTGCCCCGGCACGCGCGCACAAGATCACCCTTGGATCCGTCAGAGCGCCAAGCCATGTGAGGAAGCAGCTCGAGACATCACCAATGGGACCAACTTGGAGTTGTGGCTAAGAGGGCTGCAACTGTCCACGTGGAACCCTGTGCCGCCCCCTCCATCGTGGGGCGCGCCTTGCCTGCCGTTCTACGTCGACTGGGACGGACCGACTGCATCGCTCGATGGCACGGTGCACTTCGAGAACCGCGTCGGGTGCAAGCTGGCTTTCCTGGACGGCCTGGCTTCGAGCAGCGACGCGCGCATTGCGCTTGCGGGCGGGGGCGTCTACTTTGCCCAGTCCGCGGCCCGCGTTGGAAAAGATGACCTTGCACCCCCTCGGCCAGGAGCGTGCGGGGGAATCGACGGAGCCCAGACGGTCCCGTGCGCCGAGCTCGCGGCCCTCTGGTGGGCCGTGGAACTCACCAAGGGGCCGATATGGTTCTACACTGACAGCCAGATCGTATACGACGGTTGGCGGGGCTTCCCGGAGACTTCGGGAGAACTCAGGGGCTGGTGGAATCGAGTACTTTCAGAGGCTCAAAGTCGACGGGCGATGCCCAGCACGTGTAATTCGCACCTTGATAAAGTGTCGCTGCCCCCCCTGGCCCAAACCCCTTGTGCAACGCGAGGCAACGACCTCGCAGATAAATTCGCCCAGGTAGGAACACAACGCGTCTCAGAAGATACCGACCCAGAGGTCAGAGATCTTGCGCGTGCGGAATTCAAAGCGCGTTTGGTCCAGAGGAGGATAGCTATCGTTACTGCGGCTGCTGCCAGTGTGGAATATGAGCGCAAAAGCCGCCCGCGCAAGGTCAACCTCGCGCCCGCAGCCTGGCGCGCAAGGAAGGAGCTCGAGAAATCTTCGGGGCGCCAGCTTTCCAAGGTTGGCCCCTTCTGGGTGTGCGGCCACTGCCAGAGTGGCCCAGGGAAGTTTTCGGTTTGGGCCTGGCTCCGTAACGGCAAGCGCCCTGGACCCCAATACCATCAAGTAGAGTCTCAAGGTAGGCCCGTCCGCCTCCCCCCTCGGTTCAGAATCGGGGATAGGGAGGTCCATGAATTTCACAATGCAGCCATTCTGTATGGCCAGATTTTCAGTTGGAGGTGTGGGTGCCTCGGTTCCAAGACACCCTCGGGCGGAAGGCTGGGGGCGGGGATCGTGGTTCAGTGTAATGGGCACCCCACCCCAGCAGGGAAAGAGGCTGTGAATCCAATTTAGCGTTGGGAGGTCCCCTCAACGAAGGGAAAGGCTGCGTGGCCTGACGGCACCCCCAACGTCCCCAGACAGAGAAGGCGCACAGCGCGCCGACAAGGGTATCTCTCTGTCCCACCGCCAGCTGCTCATCGGTGAGATTTGTGGCCTGGTTGTTAATTGTCCTCTAATTATCCTCCTCCGCCTAACGGCGTGGGGGGATGAATGGTGCGGCGGGATGGGGGGGGAACGCAACAATGGTGTTCTGAAGATGCCCTTGATCGCGCAGTCAGTTCATCCCTCCCCCTCCTCCCGTTCCCTCCCCCTCGTCGTCGGCATCGTCCCCACCCCCTCTCCCGCCCCCATCCATCATCACCATCCCTCCGTTCTCCTCCCCCTTGTCCCCCTTTCCCTCCTTCCGCTTCTCCCCCTCCCTCGTCATAATCCCCCCCCTCTCACACCCTGTTGTGCCTCCCTTCCTTCCCTCCCCCCAATAGTCTCCTCACCGTCTACCCACTCCACCTTTTCCTCAGCCCCCTCCTCTTGCTGCGTCATCCTCCTCCGACGCCCATCCTTCTCCTCCTCCTCCTCCTTCCTCCCTCCTCCTCCTCCTCCCCTCCACTCCTCCTCCTCCTCCTCCTCCTCCTCCTCCTCATCATCATCAGCAGCATCATCATCATCATCATCATCATCATCATCATCATCATCATCATCATCATCATCATCATCATCATCATCATCATCATCATCATCATCATCATCATCATCATCATCATCATCATCATCATCATCATCATCATCATCATCATCATCATCATCATCATCGTTTTCTTTTTTCTCACCATGTTAATGGGCAGTGACATCATTTCCCTCCGTCTACTCCGGTTCCTCCTCGTCGCAGTCCTTCTCCTTTTCCTCCACTGGCTCCCCCTCTGTCTCCTCATCATCCTTCCTCCTCCTCCTCCTCCTCCTCCTCCTCCTCCTCCTCCCCCTCATTATCCTCCTCTTCCTCCTCCTCCCTCCTGCGTTTCTCCCGCTTCCATTCGAGTTCGTCCTGGACACAGCCATACATTCCCTATTCCTCTTCCTCCTCCCCCTCCTCCTCCTTCTCCTCCTCTTCCTCCTCTTCCCTTCTTTTCCTCCCTCCCCATTCCTCCTCGTCCTCCCCCCTCCACCCCCTGAGGACACCGTGACCGGCACCAGGCAGGACCTGGTCGTGAGTGTGTGCAGTGTCGCAGCGCGCGGCGGCTTGCCCCTCTTCCAGGCGGTCTGCCCCACCCCCCCCCACCAGCAAGCGAAGGGCGGTAGGAGGAGGCAGGAGAGAGGCCCGAGCCGCTCTGTCGGTGGCCTGTGCCCAGGCCGAGTGTGGGTTCGGGCATGCGGCGGCCGAAGTCGCACGTCCGTCGTGGCGCCACCAGCCTGTGCCCGAGCCAGACCTCATCGGCCGGCTTCAACAGGAGGCTGGGCCAGGACTGCGAGGCAAGACGGTCTGGCTGCGAGACGCCTCCGTAGAGCCGCCGAGTCCGCCAAGGCCGCGGTTGGCGAGGACTACGAGGAGGATGAGGAGGAGGAAGAAATGGGAGGGAGGGAGGGGGGAGGAGGAGGAGGAGGAGGAGGAGGAGGAGGAGGAGGAGGAGGAGGAGGAGGAGGAGGAGGAGGAGAAGGAGCGAGCATGAGCGAGCAGGAGCGAGCAGGAGGAGGAGGAGCAGGAGGGGGAGGAGGAGGAAGCGGGGAGGAAGAGGGGAGGAAAAGGAGGAGAAGGAGGAGGAGAAGGAGGAGGAGAACATGTCTTTTACCTTGCGATCTTGGCGCATGTGTGTTTTTGAAGTCATCCATCCCCGTCGGGGTTTCAGAGGGTCGCGGGTCCGTCGTGGCCCTTCCCCCTTTTGCCCTTCCTCTTCCCCTCCTCCTGCTGTCGCTGCTGCGTCACGTTCGGCCGCAGCGTGTTTGCCCGATCGACGAAAATAAGCGGGGTGCCGCCCGTTGTCGTCGGCGTCATGAGGGACGATTGTAAACGGTTGCTTGCTTGTTTTTCATTCCCAGGGCGTCCTCGTGAGTCACAGCGGGACGCGAAACCTGGCGACGGGAACCTGGCAACTGACGGGAACCTGGCCGCCTTCAAGGCGAGCCATGGCCCGTTGGACACCACTTGCGAAGTGGTCAAGCGTTGAGAACAGGCCCCCACTTGCACCAACGCAAAGCGTCCTCGCACCCCCTGCGCGTGAGTTTGCGTCGGGGAACCTGATGCCGCGCGCGGTGTGCCGCTGGCGCATTGCGTCGGAGCAATATGACGCTGAACGCGTTGAAGACAGAAGGTGCCTCAAGCCAAATCAGCAGAGCCATGGCGGTTACGCCGCGCCCAAACCTTATAACACGAGCTGGCACGAACGCATTGCGCCGCCAATGGCCCAGCGAGCACGATCGCCCATCCAGGACGAACTGCGCAAGGGCGCGCCATCCCCACCCTTCGCGGATGAGCTTCGCGGCGCGGGCGGTGGATCATCGAATCAGCGGCGGCCGAGCGCCGCAGAAGATGCAGCTCGGATACTGCTACACAAACGGATGCGCAAACAGGCCGAACAGATGGCGCACCGAAGCCCGCCTTCTGCACCGCACTACTGACAGTGGAAGCAGGATGTGCACGAGACGGCGAGCTCTGCTTCAGGCAGTCCAGATAAGAGCTTCACTTGGACCCGTGAAATTGAGGATGCTTCAACAACACATGAGTCCCTTGCGGTCAGTGGCGAGTTCGGGGCACTCGACATGAAAATAGCCAAAGCACGCAACAACATCCTCAGAAAATATGACCCCAGAAGGAGGGTCAACGCACGGATGGATGATGCTGAGACCCACGGTCGGCTCGTCGAAGGACGACAAGTTTTTTTCTTGGTCTTGGACTGGCACAGGCAGGTGGAAGCAGACGGTTGCAACTTTGACTTCGTCACCTCAATGATGTCAACATGAAGGGCAACAGTCTCGGCTAGTTAATTGAGGGATGGGACAGTGCTCTCCTGGGGTGAAACCACTTCCTGAGCCCTTCGCATTTGAACCCCTGTTCAGAACGCGGGCAGGAGGGCGCCGTGACCTCGGGCGCGATATCTGGGCGCATAACAGGATGGAAAGAAGCGACCCAAACAAAAACTAAGAGTGGCTCGACGACGCGCGCGCCAAACTTCTTGAGAGACAGCGCCTGCAAGAAGCGCGCGGGGAAACAGCGCCGGCGGATGGGGGGCGCTCAGCCGCGTCGGCGGGCAGAGGGGCGCGCGGCGGTTGGGCCCAGGAAGAGGCGCGCGCGCACCGCGGGACTGCCCGCGGCGTCGCCAAGAACGTCTGAAGAAGAAGACTGCAGGACTGACTCGTAGGTCGGGAGCTCGCAAGATCTGCGAAGAACGCCCCAAACCGCGGCGCGAAGAAAGGCGCGGGCCAATGCGCCAGCGCCGCCGGGGCGGGGTCTGCAAGCGCGGTGATGGATACACCCTCGCACGCGCAAGCGACGGCAGAGACGCGCCCGCAGATGCCTCGCAACAGGGTGGCCTTCCAGAACGCTCGCCCTCAGAGCGCCGCTCTGGCCCTGGCGACGAAGCGCGCGGCAATCCGCCCCCGCCCGCGCGCGGGGAGACACGGCGCCCTGCAAGCCCGAAACAAGGCGCGCAGGGGGGCGTTTCCCCGCGAGGGTCGAGCCAGACCGCGCTAGACCACAGAGGTAAGCCGCCGCCGCCGAGGCCGGCTCGCGATTGCGAGCGGTCGGACTCCAACGATTCAAGGGGCGGGCGCTCGAGGAGGCGCGTTGCGACGGGCGCGCCCGGGCGGCCTAAGCCACCGCCTGCGCGGCCGCAGTTGGCCATCCCGCGCCGCCCTCCTTCGGGGGGCAACGGAGGGGCGCGGGGCGCGGGGGGGCGGGGGCGGCAGGCGCGCGCGCGCGCCCTTCCGATGCGGGGGCCCGACGCTAAGCACCCTTCGAAGTTTATCAAATTGGCGACGAGGGGACCTGGTGCTAAGCACTCCGCCGCATCGTTCCCCCTTGCGCCGGCGATGCCCGATGCTGAGCGTCCGCCGGGGTCTTTCTCCATGGCGCCAAGAGAACCTAATCCCATGTTCTTGCCGCGGTCCGCCTTCGCGGCGACGGGTGAACCTGGCGCCGAGGTGATTGCGTCCGGGGGGCCCGACGCTATGGCGACTCAGTCTGCTGCGATCCGCGGCGATGCTCGCGCCGCGCTGCGCCCGCAGCAACACCGGGTGTCTTCGCGTCGTTGGCGCATTCTCTTGGGCTTAGCGCTCGGGCCAAAGGTGTTGTTGGATGTGAGATTGCGCGACCCGCGGTAAGTCTCGGCGGCGCAGCGCTCGGCGCTACTATGTCTTTTGCCGCGCTGTTTCCAGCCCTTCGCAGTGCCTTTCAGGAGTCGTAGACTCGGCGGGCGCGCAGCGCGCACTGGCGCCCGACTTAGGATCGAGTTCTTCCCAGCAGCCTACGTCTGGCGCAATGTTTTGCCGCGCTGCTTCTGGCCCCTCGCAGTGCACTTCAGGAGTCGGAGACTCGGCGGGCGCGCGGCGCGCACTGGCGCCCGAGTCAGGATCGAGGTCCTCCCTGGCAGCCCACGTCTGGCGCTTTTCGCGCCCGCTCCCGAGGCGGCGCCGCCCGTGGGGCCCCTGGGGCCGGCGTCGGAATTCGAGCTGGGGGCGGGCATTCTTGGCGCAAATCAGGAGGGGAAAAATCACACAGACACAATGAATCGTCGATTTCCCAGAAAATATTGGAAGTCGGGGGGAAGACGAAAACTCAGAAAATATGGGGAAAATATAGGGAATCCTCTTTATCTGTGTGTATATTTATTTGTGTGTCCTGGGGCCCCGTCAGCAAAGACCTCCCGCGAGGCAGGGCGCGGAGGCCGCGCGATGGCCTTCCCGCGCCGGGGGCGGGCTCGAGGATGCGAGGCTGGTTCTGCGCGCGTCGAGCTCCTTGGCTTCTCGGCCACGCGCAGCCCCCGGCGGGCGCCCAGCGCGCCCCCCGCATGTCCCGCGCCATGGGGCGTCCCACGGGCGGGCCGCGAGGGGCGCTGAGTCGTTGGCAGACCGCCGGGGACAGCCTTATACATCCTTTAAAGCTCTCCCGCGTCTGCCCGGGGGGCCCGCGGCGGGTAGGCAACCGCTGGCGGCGTGCGGTCGAAGGGGAAAAAAGGGGGGAGGGCTTCTTAGAAACACCCCTGCTTCTTAGAAGGCGCGGGCCTTATCTATAGATGTAAGGCCGGCGCCTTCTAAGAAGCAGCCTGCTTCTAAGAAGCCCTCCCCCCTCCCCCCACCCCCTTGTGCGCGCCGCCAAGCTTCGTCCTGGGACTTTTTGTTCTTGGTGCCGCACTGTTTCTGAAAAGGCCTCTCTCGTCGCTCTGTCTTTCGCGGCTGGGGCTCGCTTCGGAATGTTGCGTTTGCTCTTCTCCTGGTTTTGGGCCGTGGGCATTGCCTCCTTACTTTTTAATCTCCCCCTTGGACCTCTGCGCGCCCTCCCCGGTGCGGTTCCTCTTCCCCTGGGTTAGCTCCCGCGGAAGGCCTGCGTCCCCGCCTGCAGGTTGCTCACAAAATGCCCGCCTCGCGAAGCTCCTGCAGCTGCACTCCTGAGCTCGCCCTCGGGCGCGGCCGCCCCGCCCGCGGGCGGGGCGCCCTCCGCTGCTCTGGCCGCCTCGGAACGTCGCGCCGGTTTTCGTTTTGGGGCCCTGGGTGTTTTTCGCGATTCTCGACTGCACGCAAGATTGACCTGGCGCCGGAGTGACCTTTGGTGCGCGCCCACTGGGCCCCCCCGATCGCCGAGTGCGGTGCGATCGTGGCGTATTGCGCGCTTTTGTTGCCCCCCCCCCCGCGACCCCCAAAATGCCGCGCACCAAAGGTCACTCTTACCCAGGGTCACTCTTACGTGTAGCCGCCATTCTCCTTTCTCGGGCGGGGGCACAGGGTGAATGTGACCAGAGGGCCCCCGGCTCGGGGCCCTTAGGCTGGGGGCGCTCTTTGCCTTTGCCCTTCGTCCTTGGCGCGTGCTTTTGTTTTGACGGTATCCCCGCCAGGGTTCCCGGGGGGTCGCGGGCCCGTCGCGGCCATGCCCCCTTTTCGCCCTTCCTCGCCCCTTCACCCTCCCACGGCTGCTGCTTCGCCCTCGGGCGCAGGATTTGTGCCCGATCGACAAGAGTAATCGGGGGTTCGCCCGTCGTCGGCGTCGCGAGGGACTATCGCACACGGTTTCATTCGATTTGCATTTCCTTTCCGGGGCGCCCTCGCGAATCACAGACGGGCGCAAGCTGGAAGAATTGACAGGAATCTGGCCGCTTTCGCAGGCGAACCCGGGCCCAGGAGAGCCCGGGCCCAGGACCGATATGCTCTTGACCAGGTGCGTTTGGCCAGAAGGCCATGCTATCGCCACGTGCGAAGAGATGGAGGGGACAGGGGCGAGGTCGAGGCAGGGAGGGGGCGCTCGAGGCGGGAGTTCGGGAGGGGGGGGGGGGGAGCTTGCACGGACGGAGGGCGAGGACGCGGCCAAGGGCGGGCTGGGGCTTCCCCGGACCAGGCGCGGGTGGCCGAGCAGGGGCGGAACGCAGGCATCCACCTGGAGACCCTGGGCGGCGAGGAGCGGCTGGCCTTCTTGTCCACCCAGGACTGGTCCTCCTCCTCCTCCTCCACCTCCTCCTCCTCCTCCCCCTCCTCCTCCTCCTCCTCGTCCCCCTCCTCCTCGTCCCCCTCCTCCTCCTCCTCCTCCTCCTCGTCCTCCTCCTCCTCCTCCTCCTCCTCCTCCTCCTCCTCCTCCTCCTCCTCCTCCCGCTCCGGGCCGCTCGCCACCGCCGCCTTTCTCGGCGCAGAGCGGGCTGCTGGGCGCGGGGGCGCCGCCGCAGGCGGCCGCCATCGCACGGCCTCGAGCCAAGCTATGTGCGCCTCCTTCGGCCGCCTCGATGTGAGGCGCTCCAGAAACCCAAGCCCCCTACAGTCAACCCGCATAGTAAGGATGGGCAACCTTTCCAAGGGTACCCTTACATCCTTGCCTCCTCGGCCCATCCTTGGCCACTTTCGTTGGCCGCGCCCCGCTCGGAAAGCTTCGAAATAGGCGTCCAAGGCCCTTGCATCCTTGTCGCGCATCCTTACTGTGCGGGTTGACTGTAGGGGGTCATGGCAAGATCACGACGGGGGTGGTGCCAATGTTCGGACTTTGGGGGCCCTCGCTGGGCCCCGGGGACCGTCAACAAAACGGTTCGTGGTGACACACCAGTCCCGGGGAGCGGGTCGAGACCTCCCAGGATCCACGTCATGAAAAGCATGACGTCAGGGGTTCGGGAGCGGACTCGCCTTCGAGAGTCTCAGGTGCCGCCCTGCGCCCGTGATGGAACGCAACATGCACCGTGGTCGAAGCGTCTTGTTAGCATGCTGCGTGCTGGCCCATGCTTTGGTGAAAGCATCACGCCAGACTTAGCTTTTCAGTGTGCGTGTTGACCTCCGTGTCTGCACGCTACTGGCGGCGTGTTGCGTGTCGGGCCGGTTACGACGGAGTTGTCACATCTTCCTCTGTGGAAGGCGGTGGAAGGGCCGCGGAAGGCGGCGAAAACACAACGAGGGCGCTTCCGCAAGCGAAAGACTGGCGGAAGGCGGCAACAGTGAAAAAACGCCTCCAAGCGATGACAACATTTTTGGGTTCAGGGTTTCCGGAACCCGCCACGTGCATCAGCTGCCTCGGTGTGCTCCGTCTGCTTTGGATCTGAGCAGGACGACGTGCTTCAACTGCCTCGGTGTGCCTCGGCATGCTTCGGTCAGGCGGCCAAGCCGTGCGCACAAGGCAGCCGCCCGGAGGTGGAGCCAGGCGGGCCCCTCCGCGGCGGCACCGCTTGAACACAGGGGTGGCGCTCCTCCAAACCATCGAGGGGGGTGCGACTGGATTGCTTGATCCCCTCCGGTCAACCCTGCGGAGGGCGCTTTACTTTCGATTCAGGCAAGTCGATCGACTTAGGTGCTTGCATCGCATGTCGCCCCCCCCGCCCCCCGCCTGAGCCCCCCGTCCCTTCGCCGCTTTTCGAGCAGCGCCGGACCGAAAAGGCATGCAGGTGATCCTTGGCTTGCTTATGCGGCTTCTGGCCTCCCCTGCCGCCCCCCTGCCATACATGCAAGTAAACTACACCTGAGAAAACCCCAATCAGTGGATGATTTGAAAATTGATACTACGGATCTTGAGATCGACTGTGAGATCGATAGTGAGATCGATCGTGGAATCGATAGTGAGGACGATTATAAGGGCGATCGTGAGATCGATAATGAAATCGATTCAATGAGATCGATAGTGAGATCGATCGCGAGATCGCTCATGCGATCTCTAGTGAGATCGCTTGTGAGAATGATCGTGAGATCGATTGTGAGATCGATGGTGAGATCGATCGAGAAGTCGGTAATGGGATCGATAGTGAGACCGATCGATAAGAAGATCGACCAGGAACCCAGGAACCCGGGAGCCTCGCCGCCCTCCGAAATCGGCCCGGAACCCGGAACCAGGAACCTGGGAACCCGGAACCGGGAACCCGGGAACCCGGAACCGGGAACCCGGGAACCCGGGAACCCAGCTTGCCACCAAAATCGGCGGGGATCGTTCGCCAAATCCTTCAACTTCCGCTAGGACCCCTTCAGTGCAAGCACTGATTGGGGAATTTGCAGGATTGTTGACGCATGTATTTCCCCCCCGACCCCACCCGAAGCTAGGTGAACCCCGCGAGAGGGCAGCTTCACTGCCACGTCAACAGCTGAGACCCCCAGATCATCAGCCTGGGGCGGTTCCAGCATCCTGGCGCCGCCTCCTGCGCCGCCAACTGGGTCGTTCCGCGCGCCCCGTGGGCTGGGGTGATGAGACCTTTCCTGGACTGATGTCAAGGGGCCGAAAAGAAGAACCGTTTGGGTTCAGGAGGGGTTCTTGTTGTCGGGCCACTCCTGAGTTTTATAGGTGGGGGAACCTATGCCTGGCCGAGGCTCGCCGTGGTCAGAAGGGTCCTTCGTTTAAGGAGGCCAGCCTGGACTGCCACCAGCGGTCGTGTTTGCGTGCAGCCCCGAGCCAGACCTTTGTCAGGCCAGCCTGACCTGGTGTCTGCGCCAGCAGGGGCGTGACGCCCCCCCTGCACGAGGGCCATCAGGGGGGCCATGGGCCATGGGGTGGCAGAAGCCTCTCCCTCGAGAGGCTCACTCCATTCCGCCGACCCCCAGAAGAGGACTTTTGCACGGTTCCCGACGTCGCAGTGTTCTTTGCCGCTTCCCTCCGTGCTGCCCGAGTGCATTCGTTGCTGATGGTGTGGCGTTCCTTCTGCGCGAGGGCCACGGTGCGGCCACGGTCGGCGGCGAGCCTCGGGGAGAAGTGAGAAGTGGCGGGTCTTCTCAGAGGGCTCGGAAGTCCCGCGACCTTTTGATAATTTGTCTCAGCCTTCCCCGAAGACGCAGACAACCTTTCAGAAGGCCAGAGGTCTTCTGAGAAGCCCCGCCGCATTCAGAGAAGGCCTTCCCCTTCTGATCTCCCCCCTCGCTCGCCGCCGACACGCGGGGAGAGGCACGGGCTTCTACAGTCGGGGCCCTGAAGAAGGAACCGTTTTCGTTGAGGAGGGGCTCCGCGTTCCTTAAGTGTTTCACAGCTTGCCTCAGGTTTTCCTTTGGTTTTCAATGGGAAATCGGAGTTTAACTTGTGGGAAAAAGGGGCCTCGTTCCTCATTTGCCGTTCCTTAGGTCAAGGCCCCGACTGTACTGCCCACCCCGTGCGCAGGGGCCGCGAAGGGCCACGCGGCCGCGGCCAGGTCACCAACAAGGGGCGCGCAGAGGTTCGCGCTCCGCGCGTCTGCGGCCCGGGCACGGGCGCTGCCCCGCCTCCGGCGGGCAGCGTGGGAGCGCGCGAAGGCGGCCGCGCGTCCTGCGAGGCGCGGGGCGCGAGGCCGAGTGACCTGCAGCGGGCGCGTGCGGTACGATTCGAGGGGCGGCGTTCGGGGCACTTCCTCCACCTCCACCTCCTCCTTCTCGTCCTCCTCGTCCACCTCCTCCTCCACCTCCTCCACCCCCGAGGAGGGGGAGGTAGGAGGAAGGGGAGGAGGAGGAGGAGGAGGAGGAGGAGGAGGAGGAGGAGGAGGAGGAGGAGGACGACGACGAGGACGAGGAGGACGAGGAGGAGGGAGGAGGGAGGAGGGAGGGAGGGAGGAGGAGGAGGAGGGAGGAGGGAGGAGGGAGGAGGAGGAGGAGGGAGGAGGAGGAGGAGGAGGAGGAGGAGGAGGAGGAGGAGGAGGAGGAGGAGAGGAGGAGGAGGGAGGAGGAGGGAGGAGGAGGAGGAGGAGGAGGAGGAGGAGGAGGAGGAGGAGGAGGAGGAGGAGGAGGAGGTCCCCGCAGGAGCTGTGGGTCCAGCCGCAGGGGCGGGAGCCGCGGATGGATATCGCGAAGGCCTCCGGGGTGAAGTACGCAGCCATCATGAAGGGCGAGGCGGCGGGAGGGAGGGGGGCAGCAGGAAGGTCCGGGTATCGGGGGCGTCTAGGAGAGGGCAAGGACTAGTGACTGACTAGCGGTGTCGTTCTCGCGGTCGTCGTCCTCCTCCTCGTCCTCCTCGTCCTCCTCGTCCTCCTCCTTATCCTCCTCGTCCTCCTCCTCCTCGTCCTTCTCCCTTAGGCGACAAAAGGGCTCATAGCCCTGTTGTCGCCGTTGGCGTCCTCTCCCTCGTCATCATATAGTCTCCTCCTGCTCCTCATCATCTAGTCTCCTCTTCCTCCTCTTCACGGTGTCCTCCTCCCTCGTTCGTGATCATCATGAAGGGAGAGGCAGCGGGAGGGAGGGGGAGAAGCAGGTATGCCCTGACATCGTCGCGCTGTGAGAAAAAACACGCGAGCTTTCTGCTCATGTTTAGCCTCTGGGGGCCCTCGCCACCCCCCGGGGCCATCAAGAGACGGCCTGGGATGAAGAGCCGGTTTCCGGGGAATGTGTCCAGACTTCCAGAGAGGTCCACGATGCGAACGAGGCACGACGTCGGATGTCTGGCTGGTGGGACCAAGCGTGCCCCACAACAGACACGCGCGGCGGGCTCGTGTCGCGCTGGCGCAGCGGCGAGCCCGGCGCGGGCGTTCAGGGCTGAACGCCGCCAGTGGCCCAGGTCTGCCAGAATCGGCAGATCTGCAACATGGGGGGGCCACGGTCGTGCAGCGTTGAATGGTCAAGGCGGTGTCAGCTCGAAGAGGCAGTGAGGCAGCCCGAAGGCCAAACAAAGTGCAGACGCATGAACTTCCGAGGGTCCGCGCGGGTTTCCTGGATCTGCGCTGGCCCTGTCGGCGGTGCCTCCTGGCCCTCTCCGGCGCCGATCCAAGGAAATCCACGCGGACCTTCGAAAGTGTATGCTTCGGGGGCGGCAAAGAGGGGGGCGATGACTAGGGGGTGGATATCGTGGCGGGGGCCATGATATTTCCCCAGATTTCATGGCGCCTCTTCTTATCCGTAAGGGCTTCGCCCCCTGCCGCCGGCCCCCTCTCTCTGAGAATGGGCCATGGAAGAGCGAAGTGATGAGGCTTTGGCTCCACCGTCAAGCAGCGTCGGAACTTCATGCGAAGACGATGGGTAATTGGCAAGACGAATGGAGATTGCGAGTCTAGTGTTGTACTCGCTGTTGTATGTTCATTTGCTCCCGCACGCTGTGCCCAAATCTTTCTTCCCGAATTTGAAATTGACCGCGCGGAAGTGCGTGAGGGGTGCCCCTGAATCTTAAAAATGTACAAATCCTTTGTGTTTTTGGACCCTGACCCTGTCGATCCGCGTGAGGGGTGTCACCGAATTTCAGAAATGGTGAGAATCCCCTTGGTTCTCTGACCCTGACCCCGCCGATCTGCGTGAGGGGTGTTATCGAATTCCAGAAATGTTACAAATCCTATATGTTTTTGGACCCTGCCCGCGGATCTGAGTGAGGGGTGCCACCGAATTGTAGAAATGTGGCAAATTCCATATGTTTTTGGACCGTGACCCCGCCGATCTGCGTGAGGGGTGCCATCGAATTTCAGAAATGTGGCAAATCCAATTTTTTGTTGCACCCTGACCCCGCCCATCTGAGTGAGGGGTGTCACCGAATGTCAGAAATGTAGCAAATTCAATGTGTTTTTGGACCCTGACCCCGCCGATCTGCGTGAGGGGTGCCAGCAAATTTCAGAAATGTGGCAAATCCCATGTGTTTTTGGACCCTGACCCCGTCGATCTGCGTGAGGGGTGCGAATTTTCAGTTACCCAGCAATTCAGACAACACGCTCAGGACGTGGTAAAAATGCGGGTTTTGGGCCTCCCCCCCTCGCGCGGGCCATCAACAAGGAACAGTAAGCAGCAAGAAATCAACAAGGAATAGTAAGCAGCAAGAAGCAGAACTGTAACAGTGGAAACTGGAAGCTGCAACTGGCACAGGAAACTACGAAGCTTCGGCCTACAGCCTGGTGGCCCCACAAGGGGGCCGGCGGATTTCATTACGTCCCTAGCCCCCCGCTGGGCCGCGCACATGCCGCCAGTCATGATTAGCACCCCCCCCTCTTGGCCACCCCCCTCTTGGTCGCTCCCGAATGCTTATGTTTTCCCCCCGTACACCTTGCTGAACGGGGTGCTGTTGTAGTAGAAGTTCGTTTCGGCCGCTGGACAGGGAAGCAGAGACATCCTCAAACAAAATATGGTGTTCTGGGCCGTTTCGTCTGAGGCATCTTCACAACTCTCGTTTATGAGTTGTCCGGGATCGGCCGTCTCGCCTGAGACATTCTCGAACATCTTGGTTCCGGGACGCCGCGAGCGAGGTGTTCTGCCAGTTTCGCCTGAGAGATCCTCGAAATTCTAAGCCCCGAGATTTCCGGCTTAGCCGGGATACCTGCAACGGCGTTTCATTATGCCATTATTCGCGAGATTCAAGAAGTGGGCGACGAACTCCCTGATCTGATGGGTTCAATCCATCAAGATCGAAAGACTGAAGATAGAACGGGTCGTCGAGAGGGGAGGAGTGATGCGAACCTTCTGATACCCTCACCGACATCCCCCTTTGTCGTAAGACGCGCGAAGTGCGAAGCTTGGGTCGCCCATGATCGGCCGCATTGGGTCGATGAGCATCCCTGGCTTTCGCAGCTTCCCGGGCACTCTGGGCCCTCCGCCGGCCGCCCCCTCCTCGGCGGGCCGGCGGAGGGATCCCGCAGAGGGCAACCCCCACCAAGCCGCAGCGTGCTGGGTTCGGCCAGGAAGCCCACAGCGATGCCGACGCCCTCCCCGACGGCCGTCCCGACGCCCAGTCCCACGCCATGCCCCGCGCCCTGCCCTTCGCCCTGCCCGCCTCCAGCACTGCGAACCCGACGACGAACCCGACAACCGCCACCCACTCCAGCACTAGCGTCTTGCGCGGGGCCCGTGGAACTTTCTGATATATCTGCGAGAACAGAAGATCGGTTCAGCCCCGGTTCCTTTCGACCCGAAGCCAGAGTGGAAGACATTGACGGGCGCTGCTCGGTCGCTGTACATTCAGGCTACACGTCCGCATTAAATCAACTTTCTACCCCACGTGTCAAACCCGCGGAATTTCAAGCGATTTCGGTCGCTGCCATAACGAACGGACATGGGTGGGCCCCGTTTGTCGGAGAGGGCATTGGCGCGATGGCTTACGCGGGGCTTCTGATCATTTTTTTTTCCATCCGTCCGTCAAAGTAGTCTAGCCGCAGGACTGGGGGCAAAACGTCTCACACCATGTGGAAAATTGTCGCAAGTGCGGACGGCGATCCGACTTGCATGATCCAGAAGTTCCAGGACGACGGAAATATTGATAGATCTTCGCGTGATGTGAGCAGTGCCCTGGGTGAGCTGACCCATGGGAGTGTTCAGAACGCGGCAGACGGAGCTGCGGCCTCTGGCATCAGGGGGCAATTCAACTCCGAGGCGCAATTTGGCTAGACCCTGCTAAGATGCAGTAGTGTGATACAGACAGTGGGTACCGTTTTGCTAATACCTTTTGGTGCCTCAACGACGTTTCTGATGACGAGACAGGGCAGGTAATAGGGATGCGCAATGCGGACACAGCGACGCTGGAAATATTACTTAATCGGGCCCTCTCGGAGGCAAGCGCTCTCAAGTCGATGGAACTGTGCCCCGCATGTCCCTGAGCTTGATCCACGTTTCCACTTTGGTGCTGGCCGCCAGTATGGGATTCCTGGGTCGAGCTACTGTCTGCCAGGCGAGTTGGGGGACGATCCTGTTACGTTGGCCCATGCGACCATGAACAAACGGACTGCGCAATGCAGAGCGGCGGGGGTGTCCTAGAAAGTGGTGGTCCCTGACGGGGCATAATTTTCCCGCCGCCTCATGCGCCCGTAGAGCTATAACTGCCACTTCCCACGCACCCACGCGTCGTGCGAAAACTGCGCGGAGAGATGCGCGGAGCCGCGGGATTTGCTCGCGTCATGCATCAACCAGGCTAGCCGTCTCGCCGCGCCCCTCCGCGGGCAACCCCTTCGGCGGCTCAGCCGTCGGAGCGGGGCGCCCAGACGAGAGCGCAGATGCTGAGTCGACGCCTGAACGACGCCAGTAGGTCTGGACAGACGGCGTCTCTTGGGATAATACAGGATTCCATTTCCAGCGTCAAACATCAAGCCTTTCCCCCATGACCTCGACCCAGTTGATTCCCCTTGCGCGCCAGGCAGAACCATGCCCCAAGTGTCGCTGGAATCCCAAAATATCGCAAAGCATTGCCCGGCCTCTGTCAACTGGGAGGAGAGGCGTCGCTCCCGAACCCGGGTCGGTCGCGAACATATCCAGGGAGTGCCCCCGCGCGTTCGCAAGTCGCAAGCGGCCGCTGAGGAGATCCCCAACGACACGTCGCGCACTATCCATTCCTGAGCGGCGCTCCCCAGTTCAACCGCGGGGGCTGCCTCGGCGGCTTGGCGCGACCTCTAGTGCCCAGGACGGTCCAACCTCGAGCTGAGCAGCGGGCGCAGGCGCCCCGCCCGCCGCGGGAACGCTGGCCCAGAGTGGCTCAGCCATCGTCGGCGCCGGCGCGCCCGCCAGCGCAGCGACGCGGGGGGCGCGGGCCCGCGGCGGCTCAACCGCGCCCGGCGCCCAATCTGCGCGCCCTTTGAAAGCGCCCCCCAGGAATGGCGACAGAAAATTTCCAATTCCAGAACAAGTGGAGAAGGACTTCGGAGATGGGTGCCCACAAGGAGAGCCCTGGCTCAAGCGGCCTGGCTCGGCTGGCCCAGACCCGCCCGCCCAGAGGTAGACCCCGCCGATGCTTCCAAGGCAGGTGGCGCGCGCGGTTGGCCGACGCGTCGGCCGCGGCAAGGAGTCATCGGGCATCGCAACCGGGCGCTTCTTCAGCCGACGAACGCAGCGACTTCGATTGAAAGTCTGGCCTATAGCTCGAAGCGTCGGCGGGGGGCAGATTTTGATCGCAGCGACGACTTCGCAGTGAACGGCCGTGGGCCCCCGAGACCTGACAG